AACCAGGTTTTTGAAATATGACTAATTTACACACGCGCAGTGTTGCGTCATTCATTTCCATAAACGACGTTTACAGCCACAGATTTTTAAAATTTGACGCAGAATTTGGATTAAAAGTGGCTTATGTGCCTCCGCATATTTCCACGCATGGTGAAGTGGCGTTTCACCTGGGATTGCTGTTTTTAAGATTCAAATAATTCATTAGCATTATCAACTCTGAGCGTTAATCCCTCCCCGGATCTATGGTATGGCGGAAATGCGAATTCCTTGTGCAGCTATTTCAGCCGCAAATGCGTCATAAGGACTTCAATGCGGCTGTGGAGGAAATTCAGTTAGCTCGTTTAACTATCCTATTCTTCCAAACTTTATTTCGATCGCTTCCAAAGCTGCTAATTAAACCTTGACCTTTGTATAGTCACTTTACGTTGCACATTATTCGAGGTGCTGATTAAATATGGCATCCGGTAGGAAAGTTCAATAAACCACAATCGTTGAGGTTTATTTTGTTTGAATTTACTTACCTGTGACAGAGGTTTGATTTTGGTGCTTTAATGACTATCAGCATCCGGTTAAACATATGCGTGACGCCAGCAGCAGGTTTTTTATTATACATATTTTGGGCACCACATAGGCTACGCAGTGAAAATTGGGAAATTCGCAGAAATTTCATCTTTTAAGTCACACAACATACACTGCAAATTAAGATTACTCTGTAGGTCTACCGTTTCTGGCAACGACGACATTTACTACTGAAAAAAGATTGGTTCCACCTGCAGTGACATATACATTTTTTACTGAGGCAGGATGGCGCAGCGCCTAAAGCATGTTTTTTCCTAAACTTAACTTTCCGATTATAAAACAAGGTAACAGTCTATTATATTAATCACCACGGTAACCAAACACGCAGGATTCTGTAATACGCGACCGATAATAATGGGGGTTGTATGGAAAGGGCAATTTGGTGGCATGAGATAGAAACTAAAAGAGATATATCAAAAAACGTGAAATAGAAGATAAAATGATTATAAAAAAAACTAAAATATACCTACGGCAAAATATGCGATAATTGAAAATGAAAAAAAAATTGAAATTAAATTGATAAAATAATCAAAAAAACAAAATTAGTGCGCCGACATGTCTTACAGAATTAAGGGATTTTTAGTTCACGTGGTGATCCAGATAATAGGTTCTTACATTAAACATGTGCAAAATGCGAGGAAGTGGACTCGCACGTGGTGCCTGCCATGACCAGACTTCCCATCTGCGCATGTAGCATAGAGAATCCCGTCTTTACTCCAAATCTGGTATAAGCGAGACCGCCACAAGACCGAAATTTGATCCTCAGTCCTGTGAAAGACTGACTTATTGATTCAGGTTCACTATTTTAGCATTTATACGGATGTAGCGCGATAGAGCGCGATAGAACATAAAAGAACTATATCAGGAAACGCCGGCAACCCGGTTAAAGTTCCCTCAACTGGCATCAGTATCTTTAGCAACAAGGGTTTATGTTGATGGATCTACTTAGTTTGATGGATTATTTGATAGATTCTATTTGGTACATTGAAAAAATATAAGTTTCTTTAATCTAATACTTTTGATCACTTACACCTCGTTTGACCATTAAATGAGTTAGACAGTAGGGCGAGGATTATAGGTATTTAGGGCTTAGACATTTTTGCCGATAAATTTAAATATAAAATAATGATAAAGATAAATTAATAAAGTAAAAATGCACCATTACTCCCGGTCGCATTTTACAGTATTCAGATGTTTCTTTCTGCAGTAATCCATATAATAGGCTTACCACAAGCACAAAAGTATTGTCTTTTACGCTCAGTTGATAAAAGTCAACTCGTATGCCCATTTTGTGCGTCAAGACAGCCATATTTCGGTTTTAATAACATTTATAACTATGAGAGTGTTTAACACCGTACCATTTCTTTGAAAGTCCTGGCATATCCGTCAAATTCTTGATGCCCTTTCTGACTTATACAGCATAATCAGCATCCAATAAGCACTGTATGCTAACTTTTTAATTGCATAGAGAAGAAAAGGCTATTCCTTACAGGAAAAGCGTAAAAGTTGAAGAGTGAATATCGCCAACGTAAATTCAAAGGCTTTTGTGAAGACTTGAAACACTTTTGAAAAAACCTATACATCCTCATTCTTTGAATATGAAATTGGGAGAAAAAGCAAGTTGGAGAGTGCATATTTCTACCAAAATTTTCTGTAAATCATGGCTAAAATTTATAAAGGTACTGACAATTATTTATCAGACTTCAAAATCACTATACACACTTCAATTTACAATCCCTCGGGTATAAAATTTTAAGCAGAAATGACTTGGTTTAAAATGAATACAGGAAATAATTTTCTGTTATGTTTTCTATAATGAATCTTCGAATTAATGAGGGAATTTGAAATAAATAGGGAAATGCATACGAAATAAGAACTTACTTTTTCTTGAGATGGTATTTTGTAGATGCCCGTGACGACATGTTTTCAACAGCCGAAACGCTGGCGTGACTGAAAAATCTTAGGATTATATTGGTAGATAATAAATGTCAGAATCCCATTTAAATCATTTTTTTTATTTGAAAACGCGTTCAGAATTTTTTTAACATTTAACGAGATCGGGCACGAAATGTAGGGTTAAGGCGAACATTTTCTGTGTCGAAAAAAAATTATTAATTGCTGTGCAATTTTCGCAATACCTGCATTGTCACTTCATTTCCGCCTTTTCGAATAAACTTGTCTTTTTATATAACCAAAAATGCACGACTTTATATCTTGCAATCTTATCGTGGAAAAAATATTTATCACTGCTTAAATGATGAACGGGGGAAGCTTTGCTGAGTAATCAGTCAATTCGTTTATTAAAATACAGCTTAAGACATAGCCTGTTCGCATGATCTTCAGATTACTTGGACGGCTTGATTCATGAGAGTACTCCGATCTTTCATCCATTACTTCTGCATAGGGTATTCTGTTGTGCAGTTCTTTAGTTTCGTAAACCGGCTCAGATCTCTGCTATTAACAGTTAAACCTTATCTTAAATGATTTCTGAAATGTACGATTTATCTTATAGAAAAATATGTCACTGTTTGGCATACCCAGCAAAAAAGTACACTGATATATCGGTAGCTATTCCAAATGTGTCATGAAATGAACCCACCAAAGCTAATGATTTTTCTTAAGAAGCAAGGTGCTCAAAGGTGGGATAGGACCTCGGCGGACTTTTAATTAGTGCCCTGGCGCCGTGTTTAATCGCGTGCTCCACAGCTCACCCAGTTTGTGAAGTCATCTTTTAAGCATTATCTTTTTGTGCAGAAAGTTTGCCTACTAAATGCTTTCGATAAAGCAGCTCCTGTAAAACATTACCGGAAATGACGATTAGCTTAATCTAAAAATTTGAACATCGTAATTGGAGGGGGTAAGTATGTGAGAGAAAGATTTGAGCTACATCATGTGAAATAGATCAAGTTTTTTAGGCTGTCAGCCCCATTTGTGTGCCGGTTGGAAGAGCCACTTGTGACTCACCTAACTCACTCAGCGGTTCTGAGGAATGAATCCAGAGACAGCTAAACATTGACTGCTCATATACAGTGGAACCTCTGTTAACGAGTTCATTTCTTTCCATCACGGAACTCGTCGTCTGAAACGCTCGTCTTGTGAAACTTAGCCAAGCAAACTGCATGCGTTCACTGATTAGCTGCAGGCGACTGACCAGAGCAAGACTCAAACAGACACACATGCGCACTAACAGTTCATTAAATGAGCGGAAACCCATTAATCGAAACAATTTTTCTTGCTAGTGGCTAGATCTTTACCTAAAATGCTCGAAGATGGAACTGCTCGTCACCCAAGGTTAGACTGTATATTCGTTGGACAAGTGCGTGAATTATTTATTTCAAGACGCCGTAGACACCACTTACCTCCAAAAAAACCGCGAACGATCACTCAACCCGTCAATCCAAATGGATTGGTGTGCATATCCACGCCACA